GTGACTCAATCATCGTCAACGTGACGCAATCATCGTCAACGTGACTCAATCATCGTCAACGTGACGCCATCATCGTCAACGTGACGCAATCATCGTCAACATGAGGCACTCATCGTCAACGTGACTCAATCATCCTCAACGTGACTCAATCATCCTCAACGTGACTCAATCATCCTCAACGTGACTCAATCATCGTCAACGTGACGCAATCATCGTCAACGTGACGCCATCATCGTCAACGTGACGCCATCATCGTCAACGTGACTCAATCATCGTCAACGTGACGCAATCATCGTCAACGTGACGCAATCATCGTCAACGTGACTCAATCATCGTCAACGTGACGCCATCATCGTCAACGTGACGCAATCATCGTCAACATGAGGCACTCATCGTCAACGTGACGCCATCATCGTCAACGTGACGCAATCATTGTCAACGTGACTCAATCATCGTCAACGTGACGCAATCATCGTCAACGTGACTCAATCATCGTCAACGTGACGCAATCATCGTCAACGTGACGCAATCATCGTCAACGTGACGCCATCATCGTCAACGTGACGCCATCATCGTCAACGTGACGCCATCATCGTCAACGTGACGCAATCATCGTCAACGTGACTCAATCATCGTCAACGTGACGCAATCATCGTCAACGTGACTCAATCATCGTCAACGTGACGCAATCATCGTCAACGTGACGCCATCATCGTCAACGTGACGCAATCATCGTCAACGTGACGCAATCATCGTCAACGTGACTCAATCATCCTCAACGTGACTCAATCATCGTCAACGTGACTCAATCATCGTCAACGTGACTCAATCATCGTCAACGTGACTCAATCATCGTCAACGTGACTCAATCATCGTCAACGTGACTCAATCATCGTCAACGTGACTCAATCATCGTCAACGTGACTCAATCATCGTCAACGTGACTCAATCATCGTCAACGTGACTCAATCATCGTCAACGTGACTCAATCATCGTCAACGTGACGCCATCATCGTCAACGTGACTCAATCATCGTCAACGTGACGCCATCATCGTCAACGTGATGCCATCATCGTCAACTTGACGCCATCATCGTCAACGTGAAGCCATCATCGTCAACGTGACGGTCCTCACAGCACTGCGGTTTAGACAGCAGGTGAGGCGTCGGGGGCGGAGTCTACCTGAGCTTCGGTTCTCCTCACTCTGCTTCAGTTTATCTTTGCAGCTCAGCAGAAACTTCCTGGACGGGTCCGAAGTGGCCTTGTTGTTGCTGAAATCAAAGTGTTTTTGTCACGTTGGTGCAACATCAACATGTCGACGCGTCAGCAGCCGCCGCCGCTCTCACCTGGAGGAGTCGTTCTCCTTGGGGTAATCCTCTGTCAGGTCGCTTTCAGAGTTCAGCAGCCTCTTCCTCTTCTCCCCCCTGAAACAAGCAGCAACAACAAGCTGCACCAAACTGACCTGAACACGGCTGCGTTTACAAAGGGCGCCCCTCCCCCACCTGTTTTCAGAGAGTCCGCTGCGTGTCGGCGTGGAGGCCGCTCTGCTCGGGCTGCTCAGAGGTTTCCGCGGGGTGGAGTCGTCCCGGCCGTCGGCGCTCTGCCGCCTCGGCGTCGTCTGAGTGTTTGAGTGAAATGTTCAGCCTTCGTCTCTCTGACTGAGCTCAGTGCTCAGGTAAACACCGATGCTCACCTGTCTGTCCCCAGACGGGCTGTTCTCGTTCTTCATGGGCCGGTTACCGAGAACGCCGAAGTTGGCACTGCCATGGGACGATTTCAAGACTGAGGGATGACAGGAAGCACAGCTGCTCACATTACAGAGCATTAAAAACAGATATTTCCATAATTTATTTATTTTTCCACCTTCTCAACATGCCTTGCTGGATTTTACTCTTAATAAAACAAGTTTGTTTTAACTTCATCATCTTATCAAAACATTTTAATAAATTATTTGTTGAGAAAAAGTAATATTTAACTAAAGCAGGAGCATAAAACTGGTTGAACAATAATAAATGGAGAAACTCTGCCACCTGCTGGTAGAAACTGCACCTGCAGGGACCATAAACATTGTTTACAACTAAAAACAAACATTTTTAGCTGTAAACAATCCAAGAATTGCATTAACTTTGTGATCAAACTTCAGCTTAATGTTTCAGGCAGCGAGTTCATCATTTCTCCACCCGGCTCCATCAGACCCGCAGCTTCTCTGTATCACCCTCTACCTTACGCTCCACACAGGCCATCTTTCCCTCCACGCCTCACTCTGCATCATTCTAAAGTGAGCTCTCTTTCATTTCATCCCTGCAGTTAATGGTTTCTAGCCACCATAATCTCATTCCAGACGCCAGGATCTCGAGACCCTTTCCATCCTCCTGAAGGATCAAGATCTGTCGCTTTATTTCTTTGACAATAAAACCAGTTCCTTAAATGAACTCTGTTGATTTTGCATGGGGGTCAGAAGGTTAAATCCAAACATATCACTCCCCAGAGGCTGAAGCACAACTAAAAGAACAAATATGTAATTTTAACATTTTCTGCCATCATTCTGAGTTCAACGTAAAACATTCTGATTTTCCAGATCTGACTGGATGAGCGGCGCAGTAATTACCCGGTTTCCCTTGTTTCAGCTTCTCCAGGTACTCCTTGGTCCTCTGAACCAGCTGGGCGGGCATTTTATCCAGAGTGATGACGCTGTTGTCCTTCAGGGTCAGCATGATCCGGTTCTGGTTCTGGGTACAGCTCTTCACGTTCTGATTCAGCTGCAGGCAGCAAAATACATTCACTTCAGTCAAATTCATCCTGTTTCCACTCTCTGCATCACATCACCATAAAAAACATGCAAAATTAATGAAAATAGATCAAAACAAATTCAATAATAAACACACAAAAATACATTTAAAATATAAAAAAGTAATTACATATACAAGTAAAAAATATTTGAAAATATAAAAATCTAACAATTAAAGACAGAAATAAATAACTGAATAAATAAAAATAAAGCAAGTGAACAAACATTTTATTGATTAAGAAAAAATAAAAAAAAAATATTTCTAGTAAAAACATAACTAAAAAGTAAAGTATATAAATTTGAATGAATTATTTCTAAGAGTCAATGTAAATAAAATGAAGCCTGTGGTTGGGCCGCAGAGGGACCCGGTCCGTCTACCTGGAAGGTCCTGGTTGCTCCACCGCTGTTGTACCTCAAGCTCAGGTTGACTTTGTTGTCCTTCTCCAGGATCTCAAACGTTCCCTCTTTCCACTTGGTGGTGCCCAGGTCCATGCTGTTGAATCGGATCTTCACTGTTCCACCGCTGGAGAGTTTGGGCACTGCCATGGCTCACTGTCCCGATGGCGCACCGCCAGAAGATTCCTGAAGCAGAGGAAGTTTGTGTTAGCATGCAGATGAAGTTATGAACAGCAGTCATCGTTTGCAACATGGTGAAAATCAAAGAATGTCGTTTGTGATGCCTGGATGCTGCGCTGGACGCAGGCCATGCCAGTCTGGAGGCTGATCTGCAGTCAGAGGCTCCTTAAGCTCTGATGCAGCAACACATTTGGATAACAGCATTTCATTTCCTTTGGGCTCAGGGAAGCGCTGGCGGTCCAATAACCCAGCGTTACAGTCAAGGTTCCGGCTGGAGCTCTCTGCTTTATTCAATGACAACAAAGTCCATGTCGACTGGAACCAATCCAAGAGGTTACGACCCAAAAATATTCTCCTGAGAGACCCAATCTCCCAAAAGATGAGGACATTCCTCCTGGTTCTGTTTGTCCATCATTAGTTTAGCCTGCGGTTCGCTTCAGCTAACACTGCCGACTCTCTGCCGCTGCGTTTGATGGCGTCGACTTGAATGATTCTAACAGAACAGAACACAGAGGTTCCGGTCCGGACGAGCGCCGGGAAGAACAGCGAAGCCCAGTGAAACGTCTGGGAGGCGGGCTCCGTCTTATTCTCCGTGGGCGCTGAATGGATGGGGGAGGCCGACATTAGCAGAGCTGCTAGCAGCAGCCGCTAGCTGAGTGGCTAATTACTGCTCGTAACTTGGTGATGGAAACAGAGTCACAGCGACATTAACTCGTCGGTTCTTTACCTGAAGACGGCGGAGCACGAGCCTTGGGAAGCGGAGAATGTGGTTCGGTGTTTGTGGGTTGTCCTCCGGGAACAGAAAGTTAGTTTCGCCGGCATTCAGCTGCTCTGCGGTGGATCTCTTGTTGACAGTGAACGCGACGCTTCGCAGCAACGCGCGATGATGGCGGGAATGTGAACGTTTACAACGGAAAGGAGATGGTGATGGAACTTCCGACTCTCTTCCGGGATCCATGCCATTTCGCTTCATGTGGTTAGAGCGTCTTAATTTTTTAATTAAACAGTTTGAACATTTGTACATAATAACGTGGCATATAATAATAAACAGAGAAAAAACACGTCCGTTCGTAAAAGTTTCCAAGCTTTATTAAAGACGCGGAATACTGGTCCATGTAAATAAAAACATTTTTTGTTTTAGTTTTATTATTCCTATTAATATTAGGAAAAAGAGTTTACTAACAAAACAAGGCAACAGTGCAGGGCCAGCCCAAGGTCATATGGGAGCTTATGACATGCATATGTTTAATACTAACCCAGTTCAAGGAAATATTTTTTGATTTATCAAACTGCCCCCGTTTTGACGAGCAGCATAGAATGCCTTTATTGCTCTTACTACAAAATGTGGACTACTGCGCCTTCATCCACGTGCTATACCATTTAACTGTCACACATTTCCACCTGTATACAACTTATTTATTTACTACTGCAACTCCTCTTCCTTTCGACCTTTATACAATTCTGGTTTGGCCTCGTTGTCAACTGATGTCTTTAAAATAAGAGAGAAACGGTTCGCAGCAGTGAACCGGGGTTGCGCATAACTTTGTCAAAGAACCGGTATTTTGAGCCTGATCGGTCACGATCAACACATCCACAACACGAGAACGGGGCTATTCTGTCCTCTCGCGATATTTGTCACGTCCGCATCTCGTTAGCTTCCATTGCTGAACAAAAATAGAAAGATTGTATTTACTGAACGAGGAGCAGGCAGTTTAAAAGTGCATATCGTGTTTGAAATAGATACAAGTGAAAAGTTAATAGATTTATTGTTTAGCTGATACGCAGAGTTTCAGAGTAATAAGGGAAAAACAGTGAGAGGTCCGGAGAATGCTGACGACGGGAGCGGTGAGTGTTTCACACCAGCGGGTTTTACTCGCTGTTTTGCTACAACAAACTAGCATCATTATAAACACTGGCTGGATCTATTTTACACATTAGGAAACAAGTCTCTGCTTGTTTTATGACTGATTTACTTCATCTGAAGGAATCATAGCTCCACATTTTATTTCTCATTTTAAAATAACGATTAATGCTTCAGTTATTCGGGTCTGTTTTAATTGAAATAGGCGATGATTAGCAGTAACCCGTTGTTCTAATCATGTAAAAGTTAATGTGTAGTTTCTGAAGGTTTTACTCATTTTCACTTAACTATTTTTGAACCAGTTTCAGAAAAAAAACCCACAGAATCTAATTTAGTTGGTGTTCCAGCATCTTGTTCCAAAGACGATCTTTGTCAGGTTAGACTGAGGAAGAGGAGAAGAAGAAGAAGAAATGGACACTTGGTTAAAACTGCTTCTAATAGACCAAAATAAAGCAGCAAAGAGAAGGGTTTCTATAAATGGTTATCAAGCTGTGGTCCGTGTACCACTGTTGGTCCGTTTAGTTACAGAGTCATGAAAAGAAAACAAGCCAGTTTATTAATTAACCAACTGTAAAATGGGACTAAATAAGCAGAGATTGAAACCTTGGCAGCACTATGTCTGGAATAAAGTTCAGTTGATTGAGTTTAATAAGTAACTGTCATGGCTGACTAGTGCCTGATGGAGACTGAACATTACAGTGACAACAATCATAATGAAACCATCATTCCTAAAATGAAATATAGTGATTATCAGTAGATTAAAGGGTTGAGTTTGTTTTTGTTTAATGAGAAATAACTGGAAAAGACTAAAACTTCCATTTATTTTGGAGTTTTCTTTTGTTTTCAACAATTTTGTATTAATATTTTAGCTTTTGCTTACTCATAGTAAAGGTCAGTATTATGTAAAATCAACTTTTTTAAGCTTTACATCATATTATAGTGTTATTCCCTCTTCAAAAACATACCTGGAGTGTTGCCTTAATTCTTTAATGGATGTTTGAAAAATCATTTAATCTCCATGGCAACCACTCAGCTGTGCAAAAATCCTGTTTGGAATTAGCTCCGCCTTCCAAGTGAAGCTCCTCCCCCACTCTGCTCCTTCAGACTAGCCAGCAGCAATTAGCAAACTGCTGAGCCTACCATAGGAGCTGCTGCTCAGAGCAACGCTGTTATAAACATGAAAGGGTTAATAGAGCAGCCATGTTGGGATGACTTCCTGGAGGCGGAGCTTCAGAAACAGCAGAAGTTTTTACAGACTTCTTAATTTATTTTAAGTCATATTTGATATCTATAGCATTTTTGTAGCAACTGAATTTACATAGTGACTTGATAGTGCTGTGAGCGGCAGTATGGGCCTGGAAAACAGGAAATAATGCCACCCTTTTGAAGACATTTGCTAAATTTGCTGCCAAATTCAAGAGGATTGGAACAGGAGGGTGTGAGGTGAGGGCGATCCGGTAAATGTGTCTGTTTGGTTCCAGGCCGTGACCAACGTCACGGCGCTGGCCCAGGTGGACCGGGAGAAGATCTACCAGTGGATCAATGAGCTGTCCAGTCCGGAGACCAGGGAGAATGCTCTGCTGGAGCTGAGCAAGAAGCGGGAGTCGGTTCCGGACCTCGCCCCGATGCTCTGGCACTCCTTTGGCACCATCGCCGCGCTGCTGCAGGTCAGCGGCTCGGCCCGCTCCGGCCCGGTTCCGGTCCAGACTCTGGCTGATTTCTCTTTCTGGTTGCAGGAAATAGTGAACATCTACCCGTCCATCAACCCTCCCACCCTCACCGCTCACCAGTCCAACAGGGTGTGCAATGCGCTGGCGCTGCTGCAGTGCGTCGCCTCGCACCCTGAGACGCGGTAAAACCCAAACCTGCCGCCCGATTCAGTTTCTGCTCCTGCAGATAAACAGACATTCTGAAACGTTTTTAAAATTGGCTGGAAAAGAATCACATTTTTAGATGAAGTATTTCTGAAATTCAAAAGTCTAAACTTTTCCCACCATCAGGTCGGCGTTCCTGGCGGCTCACATTCCCCTCTTCCTGTATCCGTTCCTGCACACCGTCAGCAAAACGCGGCCCTTCGAGTACCTGCGCCTCACCAGCCTGGGGTCATCGGTGCGTCTCTTCAGGAGCTCTGCTGGTTTACTTCCATGTTTTCCAGCAGATCATTAAATGTTTGTTTTTGTAGGAGCTTTGGTGAAAACAGACGAACAGGAAGTGATCAACTTCCTCCTGACAACTGAAATCATCCCGCTGTGTCTGCGCATCATGGAGTCAGGGAGCGAACTCTCCAAAACGGTGAAGTTTGTAAAACTTTGCAGTTTCCAAATCCTCAGAAATGAATTTGGAAACATTTGAGTCGGTCAGTTTATGAACCTGAGCTACTCGCTGCGTTTCCTGCAGCCCAGTTTTGGTTCCAGTAGAACCGAGTCGACTGGATCGTCAGCTCTAATGTCCAAGCCAATGCAAGAATGGTCGATGTTAGCCCATTTCTTTTTCCCAGCATCACAATCCTACTTTTTAATCGTTTTCATTATATTTTGTACCAAGAAAGATACCTGGCAGTTTTGGATGGGAACAAAAAGTTTGCGTTGTTGAGGCTGTATTGATGTTTACAACATTTTTATTTCTCTCAAGTAATTTCTGGTTATTTTTCTGTCTGGTTACTTTGTTTTGAAATGATGAAACATTTCAAGACAAAGATTGTTTGTGGATATTTTGTTCCAAATGGTGCTTCATGTTCCTGGATGTGGCGGAAAATCTTTCAGAAAGACCTTAAACTCATCAGATTTCAGTTTGTATTATTATGTAAAAACTGCAGCAGCAGAATCAGACGTTCTCCTGGGATCACTTTCCTCATTTCAGAATCTAAACTGACCTCTAAAAAGACTCAAATGTTCTTTCAGTTATCCCATAATTTCCGTTTTCCCGTCAGGTCGCGACCTTCATCCTGCAGAAGATCCTCCTGGACGACACCGGCTTGGCTTACATCTGCCAGACCTACGAGCGTTTCTCCCATGTGGCCATGATTCTGGTGGGTTTCTCTGCCGGGATTCGGCGCGGGTGTTGGCACCGCTGCGGCGTTCCCATCATGCTCTCTGTCTCCTCAGGGGAAGATGGTGCTGCAGCTCTCCAAGGAGCCGTCGGCCCGGCTGCTGAAGCACGTTGTCCGCTGCTACCTGCGCCTCTCGGATAACCTCAGGTAGACGGGAGAAAAACTCTGATCATTTAAGGTTGAGTTTACAGTGCAGTGGTGAGTTGGTACCACTAGAGGGCGCCGTTCTGACTCCAGGATACAGACGGTAACAGCCGTTTATTTTCTCATCTTGACGTTTTTGTTGCTGTTTGGAAACGAAAACGGCTAAATCCGATCCGCTCGTGTTTAGAGAATCAGATTTCAGGATTTATTTGGTGAAACTCAGCAGAGAATTTAGTTTCTATCTGAGTCTTTAAAGGCCTGGAAACATTGAATTTAATCCAGAGATTTTTCCGTTTGAAACAAGGAAACAGATTATTGAAAAGTTTCTGTATTTTCAGATCATTTTGAGTAAAATTGTTTGTTTCTCCATCCATCCAGCAGCTGGAACTTTATTGTGAAGGGTTTTATATTGATGAGCTTTGCTAGCAGTCGGAGTCTCCGGGTGACATGGAGGAATCCTGGTTTAGCTTGTGAGCCGAATCTTTCCGTTTCTCTCTGCTCCTCTAACATCGAGCGTCTTTAAAACCAGTTTCCTGCAGGGAACCCAGTTTGTTCTAAAGGTTCTGACCAGTATGGTTCTGTTCCTGGACATTTCCTCTGAACGCATCCGGTTTGGATCCACGCTGGCTCAGCGACTTCAGAGCCGGAGGCTCAGCGCCCCCTAATGGCCAATAAATTATATGTACTGACCTGTTGTGCTGCATTGCTATCGCTGTCACATGACCCCAGAAACCAACAGCCTCAAAATGAAAATAAACATCAGCCAGTTTTACGTCTGCTCCCGATGTCTGGTCAAAATGGCCTCCATCTGCCGATGCCGACATCAGTGCAGATGAATTTCCCATCACCTGTTTGCAGAACATGATTAGTATCAGTCAGGAGCAGGATGCAGTAAAATGCGTCAGACTTTTTCAAAACAAACAAAGAAGTTTGAAGAAACTGCCACACATTTCTCAGCATGTCTGCATTTCTACCGACTGAAGTTTGTCATTTTTAATATCGACTGGAGGTTCTGTCATCAGGTTCTGTCCTGTTTGCTCGGCGCATGTCCTGAAGTTTCTGCATCATCTGGACCCTCACTAGTTTCTTCCAATAAATACATTTGGCAGCAATATCACATATTAGTCAAAAGTTATAAACAAGCAAAAGTTTTCTGTTGTATTGTTTTTTGTTTTTTAGTTTTGCAGCATCGTATGACACCTGAGGGAGACATTGTGTTGCTCTTCGTTTGAGAATCTGCCTGATTTTTAGCTCTTCTTCATCAAAAGTGGTTTTCCTTCATCCTGGTTTCGTGTGGGTTCCTCAGAGCCAGAGAGGCGCTGCGTCAGTGTCTGCCGGACCAGCTGAAAGACAGCACCTTCGCCCAGGTTCTGAAGGACGACACCACCACCAAGCGCTGGCTCGCTCAGCTCGTCAAGAACCTGCAGGAGGGCCAGGTGACGGACGCCCGCGGCATCCCGCTCGCCCCGCAGTGACGCCCCGACCGGCCGCCCGACAGGCCGCCCTGCTGCCGGCCGCCCTGGTGCTAGGACTGTCCTCGGCGCCGCTCACTGCAAACCGACCAGCGACCGACCGAGGGGTTTTTGTTTGGATTACGAACTCTTGAATTTCAGAAATTGTAGATTTTACTTTTACTGAGACATAATATTTTTTCTGAACTGTTTGACAGTAATGTTTAGGTGAAACATTTCACAGATTAAAGGAACAAACAGGAACTAAATCCTGTGAAGCTTTGCAAAAAATGAGAGAATGTGATGATCACCAATAACCTGAAGTTCATGATGACATCACTTCCCTTTGATGGTCTCCTGAGTTGCTGCTGATGCTTCCCTCAGCAACCCGTCGCCTCCTGCAGCACGCTCCTGCAGCACGCTCCTGCAGCACGCTCCTGCAGCGTCTGATGGGTGAACTGGGTTCTGTACCGTAGGCAGCAGCTTCTGTCCTGGCTGTACTCGTCCACTCATTTGTACAGAGATGATTTCTTGGCCTCTGCGTGTTTCTAAATAAACATTTTTTCAACATATTCAGGAAATTATGACTTAATATGTCAATGAAGCTAGTTAGATGCCAAGGGAAAAAAATGTTGACACATTCTTCTCATGCTAAGGATCCCATTAGAAATCCTTTGGTACCATCTAATGGAGTGTGAACTGCATCACATTCAATTTCGCCAATAAACTCCGTAAATCTTAACCTTGAGACTTACTAATGTCGCCTACATCGATGAAATTAGAAACGAAACCAAAATGATTCTAATTTTAGGTGTGAAGCTCTTTGGTGACTCCAGGCAGCGAAGGAATGGAAATGATTATTAACAAGCAATAAGTATAACTATAGAATAATAAATTACGTGAATGTAAGTATTATGCATCTTAATAAAAGACAAATATAAATATATTGTAAATACATACCCCAATAAAATGTTTTATTTATAGTCAAAGAAGAGAAGGCTAGTAAGTTACACAGTAAAACCATTTTTTAAATATTTAACAGACTAACAATAATAAACAGAATTTACTCAAAAATACATGTAGAAATTTCATTTGTAAAACTGATTTCATGTTGCAAAAACAGCCAGGAGCTCATGAGACAATAAAACAGCATAATGATAAAGAGTTATTCAAAACATTTAGTTCTATTCTAAAGTCTAAATAAAAACTGAACTTGAGCAGAACTTCATTCCTTCAGTGCCTGATGTTGCTAATTAGCATCACAGTAAAATTCTCACTAATCTGCAGTGTTCAAGTTTTTAATCTTTCCATAAATGGCAAGAAAACAAGATTTATTTCTGTTACTTTCAGTGTCATTTATGGAAATTTAATGCAGTGGCTTAAAAAAATAAAAAAAAAACAGGTCAAATTTAAATGTGTTGTCAGATTGTAAAAGAAGTTTTGTCTTTGGTTTTGGGGAAGGTAATGAGAGACACGGTGGAAAGTCTGGAGCCTTAATGAGGCTCGTTTCCTGCTCCATCCATTAACCCCACAGACCGGGACGGATGGACCGGGGCGGATGGACCGGGACGGATGGACCGGGACGGATGGACCGGGACGGATGGACCGGGGCGGATGGACCGGGACAGATGGACCGGAAGCATCACAGAGGAAAAACACCTGAGACTAAAATCCCAGAGGGAGACGATTTAAAAGCTGCAGCGGCTGAAGGAGGGAGCAGGCCATTAGTCCACAGCGATGTGAGGAGGGAGACGGGCTCTTCACCCTGGGCTTCATCATCCTGTTTAACAGGCGGACATGACACTCATCAACATGAAGCGGTTTCAATTATCACTGTTATGAAACGTCATAAAGTGCCATTATCCACAGAATAACAACAAACATTCAAAAGTGTTACCATTTATTGATGGCATCGTCTCTGACACTGAGGCCGTTTTAGATCAGATTCTCAGATTTCTGACAAAAAAAGTCAGAAATTTAGAGACTAATCTCAAATTTTCTAAAAAGAAACAAAAAATGATAAAAAGTGAAACATTTTTGACTTCAGTTGGAGGAAAATGTTTTCCTCCCAGTGAGTCTCGGTGAGGTCAGGACTCACTGCTGGTTTGATTCGATTTAGATGCAGTTTTATCTCCTCAGCCTCTATACAATCAGAGGAACTGAGGTTGAGCCTTTAATGGAGGTTATTGTTCTCAGGCCTGGTTTAATGGCGACTCTGTTTCCAATAATCAGGAAGCTGAGAGTTGTGCAGCGCGGCGCTGATGCTAGAGGAGGGAGTGGCCGGGCAGGAAGGCAGCGGGTCGAGGCGGTGCTGGAGGAGGGAGCGCTGCGGAGCCGCTGGGGAATCAGGTTTCTCACACTCAGCAGCAGCAGCAGCAGCAGAACTGGAGGAAAGGGAAGGGAGGAGTCAGACTGGGACTCACTTCCCCTCCAGTATTCCCAGTTTTTAAAGCCTCAGACTCCTGGAGTCACTCTGAATCCGAGGAGCACATCCCTCAGGTAAGCGTCAGACTGCTGCTTGTTTCCCCGAGTCATTCTGGCCTCTCTGAGCTGCACATGCATGAAAACTTTCTTTCTGCTTCTGCTTCTAATTTACTCTGAAAATCCTGCTGGAGTTTCACATTCCTGACTCAGATGCATTAAGGAAATCCAGGATTACGGCTCCAGCTCTGACTGGGGGTCCAGCATTCCTGAGCTGCATGAAACCCCAGAAGGCTTGAGAGAGCCGTCAGATGCTGCTGGTCCTCATGACGCCTCTGAGTCACGCGTGTGTGTTTGTGTGTGATCAGTGAACTCCCTCTGGAAGTGACTCACTGCCCCCAAAATAAAGCAAGACGACAGCAGCAGCTGAAGGCCGGGCTGCAGAGTGAAGCTGGAGCAGACAGACAATGAAAGGAAGAGATAGTTATGACACGGCAACCTGAGAAAGCTTTTGCTTTCCGCGTCGGTTTATCAGCAGGCAGCAGTGAAGAGGTTCAGGCTGGGGGTTCACTGGGTCGAGGCGCTGACTGGTACCTGGTCAGATGGTTTAGCGTCAGAACCGTCCCAGACCGTTGAGCAGGTCATCCCTTTATCTTCTTCACACCAACGAAACCAAAAACTGATTTTTTTCCAACGATTTCATTAAACTCCTGTTGGCAGGACATTGTTTTATTCAACTGTCAAAAACTGACTGACCATTCACCCATTCACAAATTCATTCATTCATCAGCTGCCAGGTTCCAGCTGCAAGTGCAAACACTTTGATTTTAATCTGACTAAACCTGAGCTGAGGCCAGCAGGTGGACTGTTAGTCACTCAGGTTTTTATGCAACTGGATTAACAGAAAAATACAATCAGACTCAAGAAATCACGTAAACAGAACCTGAGACAACACGTCGCCTCCAGAACCAACAGAAATCCAACAACAGAAGAACCGAAACGTCCGGAGAAACACGAACAGCAGCTTCAGGGAAGCACAGTGGTGGCAGTGTGGTGATCTGGGACCTGGGCGTCTGTAACTGTTGGAACCATAACTTCAACTGAAGGAGAGGATCTGACCAGCATTTTACCTCTGAAGGATTTGGAGTGTCCTAGTCAAAGTTTGGACTTGAATCTGATCAGGATTGTGATTTAAATAGTTTACACTCCAGTGAAACTGAATTTAAGCAAAACTGCCCAGCGGGGTCAGACGTCTCCTGCATGACGGGAAACACTCACTGCAGGTTTTCATCAAGTTCTGTAGTGAAGGTCCAATTACTTTTTGATACTGGACCGGGTTTGGGCGGCTTTATTTCCTCTTCACAAATTAAATCATGGAAAAAAAGAATTGAATTTCTGTGATGAGAGAGAAAAACTAAAACAGAAGCAAAGACTTTTTCCTTCTCAATCAAAACGTCTGGATCCGTTTAGGGAAAACTGCATCACAGCCAATAAATCAGAGGGAAGTGGTTCTGGTCCGGTGCGGTCCGGTCCGAGTCGGTTCTGATTCCTCCCCGTCAGCCCTGAGCGGGCCTCTCTGCTTCCAGATCATCAAAGATCCAGAGAATCAAAGCTCAGCGTCCCGCTGCTCAGATTCCTGCAGCAGCAGGGAGGCTGCTGGGAAGACGTGATTTATTCCCACCAACAAACCCGTCCGGCACCGGCCTGCTGGACAGAAACCGAGCTGAGCTGAGCCGAGCCGAGCTGAGCCGAGCCGAGCCGAGCTGAGCCGAGCTGAGCTGAGCGGCGAGCTCCAGAGAAAACCTTCAGAGAACCTGATTCTTTTCTAACGTTTTGGTTTGGTTTGGATTTTCAGGCCAGAGAAATTCACCAACATCTGTTTCGTTCACAGGAAAATATTCCAGAGATAAAGATGGAGCCCGAAGCTTCATGTGAGTATTTCACCTCCTCAAACTGGAAACTTTCAGGTTCAATGAACACGAGTCAAAACCCTGAACTTTGACCTAATGGTTGTCATGACAAACAGAACCTGAGTAAATGCCAGGTTTCTAGTGATGAGCATCCTGCAGACATGACCAGTGTCTGCAGGACACTGGTTTTCTGTTTGTTATGGCATAAAAGTTTTTATTAGAATAGTGAAAAAATGACTAAAAATGTTTCTGAGTAGAAACATTTCTCCTTTTGAAAATGTTGCTTCTTTGCAACTTATCAAAGCAGGAACACAGATAAAATAAATCAGTTCTGATACCTTTTATCTGATTTCTACACAAATAGAGTAGCAAACAATGTTAGCTTGTCTGCTAACAGTTAGCGATAGCAGCATGACTGTTTGGTTGGATCCAACACTGATCAAAGCGTTGGATCACCTTTGATTGCCTGTCAGTCATTCCTTTTCCTTTGTTGAAGCTGAAAGCTTCAGTAAATACTGATTGTCACAGGAAGACAACTGAGTTCCTCCTCAGTTCCTGGTAAACTGAGGAGGAACCTCCAGCGCTTCCTCCTGGCTGTAATTCATACTGGAGTTCTCAAAATGTTGCTACTGGTTGTATCTTTTGAGAAGTTTCTGATGAAACGTTCCCACCACTGTTGAGATCCATGCTTTGTAGTTTTTGTCCTGATTACGTCAATAATTCCCCTCAGGCCTGCAGGACGACCCGCACGTCAAGCTGATGATGGCGGGCTCCACCCTGAGGAAGGTCAAGTCCCGCTCCTGGAAGAGGCAGCGTCATTTCCGCCTCCTGGAGGACGGCCTGACCATCTGGTACAAGTCCAGATGGGCGGGGAAGGGCCACTCCACCTGTGAGTGCAGAAACTCGGTCAGATCACGGCTCTGATCCGTCAGCAGGGAGAGGAAAACTCACATTTAGCATTTGGCAGCTTTTCTAACTAGCTGAAGGGAATGTAGCAACAACAAGAAAATGTGTAACAGAACCAGCTGAAGCTGAATGCAAGTTATGTAGTTCCTTTGGTAATAAAATGAATGTGATCCTGGAACTTTAAATACTTTGATCCTTAGAAATTATAAACATTGTCTTGATCTTGTTTCTCTATTCTGACATTTTTCAAAATGGCCGCCATGATGTGACATAAAGTTATGAAAATGGGAAACATCTTTTGGTAATATTGCTTCAAAAGCGGCGGCCATCTTGGA